GTCTTTAATCAAGCCTAATTTGATGGTGTCCAGTTTGCAAATTAATTCCAGTTCTGCAGTTTCTCGTTGGAGTCTGTTTTTGAAGTATTTTGTTGAAGAATTGCCACTTTTAGGTCTGTAATTGAGTGTCCAGGGAGGTTGAAGTGTTCTCCGACTGGTATTTGAATGTTATAATTCTTGACATCTGATTTGCAATAGAATAAATGGACACAAATCAGAATTCTAGTAGATTGGTGAGGCATGATTTCCCTTTACAAAAACCAAGTTGACTCTTCCCCAACAAATCATGTTCACCTATGTGTCTGATAATTCCGTTCTTTACTATAGTTTCAACCAGTCTGCCCGCTACTGAAGTCAGGCTTACCAGCCTGTAATTGTGAGGATCACCTCTGGAGCCTCTTTTAAAGATTGGAATCACATTAGCTATCCTCTAGTCATCTGGTACAGAAGCTGATTTAAATGATAGGTTACAAACCACAGTTAATAATTCTGCAATTTCACATCTGAGTTCCTTCAGAACTCTTGGGTGAATACCATCTGGTCCTGGTGACTTATTACTTTTTAGTTTATCAATTTGTTCCAAAACCTCCTCAAATGATACCTCAATCTGGGACAGTTCCTCAGATTTGTCACCTAAAAAGAATGGCTCAGGTTTGGGAATCTCCCTCACATCCTCAGTCGTGAAGACAGATGCAAAGAATTCATTTGTTTCTCTCAATGGCCTTATCATCCTTGAGTGCTCCTTTAGCATCTCGATTGTCCAGTGGCCCCACTGGTTGTTTAGCAGGCTTCCTGCTTCTGATGTACTTTTTAAAAAAAATTGCTATTACTTTTTGAGTCTTTGGCTAACTGTTCTTCAAATTCTTTTTGGCCTTCCTAATTATATTTTTACATTTCATTTGCCAGAGTTTATGCTCCTTTCTATTTTCCTCAATATGATTTAACTTCCACTTTTTAAAGGATGCCTTTTTGCCTCTCACTGCTTCTTTTACTCTGTTGTTTAGCCCCGGTGGCACTTTTTTGGTTCTCTTACTATGTTTCTTACTTTGGGGTATACATTTAAATTGAGCCTTTATTATGGTGTCTTTAAAAAGTTTCCATGCAGCTTGCAGGGATTTTAATTTTGGTGCTGTACCTTTTAATTTTTGTTTAACTAACTTCCTCATTTTTGTGTAGTTCCCCTTTCTGAAATTAAATGCTACCGTGTTGGGCCACTGTGGTGTTCTTCCCACCACAGAGATATTACATCTAATTATGTTATGGTCACTATTACCAAGTGGTTCAGCTCTATTCACCTCTTGGACCAGATCCTGTGCTCCACTTAGGACAATAAGGATAACAACATTTCATTACCACTGAAATGTTGTTATCCTTGTTGTACGAGTAAAGGGCAGCAGAACTGTGTTTATCCTGTCCCGACTGAGCGAGTCTTCCTAAACTGAACTAAACTCGCTAAGCAGGAGGCTCGGATGCCAGACCCCGGTGAAGGGTAAGAGGGGCTGGGGACCTGCCAGGAGTTGTGGGCTCTTCCTAAGAGTCCTCGGCATGGTTTAACCTGCCCCTCCCCACCGTTCAAAGATAGAGCTAATTAAGGCTGTATTAGGACTCTTTTTTGTTTTCTTAAGTGATCACTAGAGCTGAAATCGTCTGTTGTGGGGCAGTGTTTCTGTCCAGCCTGCTTCAGCAGTGAAGTTTCCCCCCTGAGAGCTGCAAATCACTGAGGGCTGGATGGAACCTCAAGAGACCGATCCGCAGAGGTCACAGTAGAGAAGCAGATGGCAGCAGAAGGGAATGGTGTGCATTGGTGGCGGCCGGCTGGGTGGCCACGGAGTGGAACGGTGAGCGGCTGGCAGAGCAGCTAGCGGGACAGCGAGTGACTGGCAGCGTGGCCAGCAGAGCGGCTCCCAGGGTGGCCAGCGCACCGGTAAGCAGCTGGGATGGTGGCCAGCAAAGCGGCTGGCGGAGCAAGGCAGCTGGCAGGACGGCCGGAAGACTGGACCAGCAAGCGGCCGGCAGGGCAGGGCAGGGCGGAGCGGAAAGCGGCTGGCAGAGCGGCCGGCAGAGCGGAGCAGTGCCTGGCCAGCAGGGCAGCGACACCAGAGCAAGCACTCGGATGGTGGAACAAGCGAGGTGCTTCTCCCCCTGTCCCCCAGGGTGGGAGGTGAACTCATGCAGATGCACTGACCAAGGACAACTACTGTGAGTGGCGTGTGGTGGAGGGAGAAGGGAGGGGCACGGTAAAGGAATTTTTGGTAGTTGGATTCACGAACCTGAGGCAAAAGACACGGCCCAGTGTACTCCGGGATGGGTGTTTTGCTCACAGTTTTATGATTTTGAATCCTGCTTGCGGCATTTTCCCTAATTAATGTCGGGTGACTTCCCTCCTTTCATTAAATGTTTCTTTTCTACCCTCAGACTCTGTGCTTGCGAGAGGGGAAGTTTTGCCTCTCCAAGGCACCCAGGGGTGGTGTGTAATTTTCTCAGGTTACTGGATGAGGGCTCGAGCCGGTTCTGTGTTGTATCAATGGAAAGGGACCCCTAGGTATTGAACCCGGCCCTGGTTGCTGCTGGCTCCACCTGGCAGAAGGGTTACACTTCTTTTTAGTACACTTGGATTAACGTGGCCAAAACAGACGAATCCACAAAGCACAAGAACAAACAGACACATGGGGATAACAATTCCAGTTCCTACAGGAAACCTGAAGGCCAAATTCAGCCCTTGCCTAAGCAATGACGGTTCCTATCACTGCCAATGGGAGTTAAGATATAGGTGGATGCAGTGGCGGATTAACGCACAAGCCCATGGGGCCTCTGCCCAGGGGCCTCAGCCAATTTGGGGGCCCCCACAGGAGTGCCGGAACCTGTGTAGAAGTGCGCTGCTCCTCCTCTTCCCCCCTAGACCCCGCCCCCTGCTCCTCTTCCTGAGGCCCCGCCCCCTGCTCCTCCTCTTCCCAAGGCCCCGCCCCCTGCTCCCCCTTTTTCCCCAAGGCCCTGCCCCCTGCTCCTCCTCTTCCCCAAGGCCCCACCCCCATTCCTCCTCTTCTCTGAGGTCCCGCCCCCTGCTCCTCCTCTTCCCCCCAAGGTCCCGCCCCCTGGCCAGGCCAGAAGCCAGAGCAGGGCCATGGTAAGAGACGCCCAGGGAGCCTGGGCCGCTGTGGAGAGCCCCAGACCCTCCACCCGCCATGTATACGTGGAAGGAAAAGGTAACAAAAACACAAAAAGCATCTGTGTGCCAGCGCCGTCCTCCCCCAGTGGTGCTTCCAACTCTGCTGTACACCTGCGAGACGTGGACTGTCTATCGGCGTCATGCACGAAGGCTCAATCACTTCCACATTTCCTGTCTGCGAAAGCTTCTAAAAATCAGATGGCAGGACAAAGTGCCCGATACTGATGTCCTTACTAGAGCCAGTCCGCCGTCAGTTCACACATTGCTGATGAGCGCCCAGACCAGGTGGGCCGGACATGTCGTGAGAATGTCAGACGAACGCATTCCTAAACAGCTCTTCTACGGAGAACTCACTCAGGGAAAGCGCTCCCATGGAGGACAAAAGAAGCAGTTCAAGGACACGCTGAAGATCTCTTTGAAGTCCTTCGAGATCAACACCGCCACATGGGAAACCTCCGCACTGAACCGTTCAGCATGGCGCAGCCTCATTCACACAGGCAGTAATACCTCTGAGGTGAGGCGTATTGCTGAGGCTGAAAAAAAGCGTGAGCTGCGCAAGTCCAGAGCTGCTCGTACACCATCGACTGGTGTCTGCCCGACATGTGACAGGACGTTCCACGCCCGAATCGGACTGATCAGTCATCTCCGGACGCACAGAGCCCGGTCATCGAAAGAATGAGTTGTTGAGGTCTTCATCGATAACGATGGACGAACATCATTTCGCCCCACACACACACACACGCCTTGATCCTAAGGTTAGAGAGGAGATGATCACTCAATTCAGGTTGTATTGATTTCCCACCTAACTGAAGCCTTCAATCAGCCATTTTCCTTGCTGAGTGTGTCAGGAACGTATTAACCCTGAAATCTGCTCCCCGGGGGCCCGTTCGCAGTATAGCCAGTGCAGATTGAAGCACGAACTGTTTCAGATCAGCAGAGATTCTCTCCGTTTCCTGCAATTCCTGGACTGCTGTTCACCCCTTCGTCAGCCACTGAAGATCTCCGCTCAAGAGTGCAATGTTCCTACTGACGCTGCAGCCTGCCCCACCATTCCTCCCAGCCCACCCTGTGTTTCGGTGCCACTCCCTCCCTCCAGAAGGTCAGCAGCAAGAAGGAGTGGCAGATGGAGGAAGGCTGGTGGTGTGCTTACTTATGATGAATAATTAGTTGCGGTAGTGTAGCACTCAGGAGGCCAGAACCCCGTTGTGCTAGGCGCTGTACAAACATACAATAAAAAGACGGTCTCTGTCCCAAAGAGCTCACAGTCTAAAACACAAGACAACAGATGGACACGGGCTGACAGATGGGGGAGTACAAAGAAACAATAGGACAATAAGGTTATGGCACTGAACTGCGACTCGGGAGATCTGGGTTTGGATTCCTAGCCCTGCCACTGATTTCCTGCACAGCCTTGTCACTTAATCTCTATTTTGTAGAGGTGCTTATCCCATTCTCCTCACTGTGGCATCAGTGGGCCTCTCAGTCTTCATCTGTCCCCTGGGGATGACAGAACTTCCTTGCCACATGGGGGGGCCTGGGAGGATGAACCCACAGATGCCAGCGAGGTGCTCAGATGCTGCAATGATGGATTCATAGAGCCAGATGAATAAATTAGTTGGCATAAAGCTGAAATCTACCCCCCAAAAATCCAGATTTCTCTCTCTCTCACTCACTCTCTCTCTCACACACACACACACACACACACACACACACACACACACACACACACACACACACACACTTTTCTAAAGTGAATCTTGAATAAGTGACGTTCCCCGGCATATGTCCACCTGAGACCGCATTGACTCAGCTTCTCCCTGCTGGGATGTCATATCTATAACAAAGCGTAATACCCTCGAATATCTTTCCCACTAGCTTTTTGGAAGAGAAATGGTAGATCTCTCTGAACCCCAGGCTCTGGTACAGACTCTGGCCCTCCAGATTCACCATGGATCACCGCCTTGTAGCCACGCTGCTGGGCAAAGCTAAGGACTGTCCCGGACAGCGCTCTGGCAATGCCCCTGTTCCGATGGCTCTATCTGACCGATAGCTGTGCCAGTTCCAGCATGCGCTCACCATCGATATAACGCAGTGGTTCTGAAACTTTTTCACTGGTGACCCCTTTCACATAGCAAGCTTCTGTGTGCGACCCCCCCCTTATGTAAAAAAGTGTTTTTAATTTATATTTACCACCATTATAAATGCTGGAGGCAAAGTGGGGTTTGGGGTGGAGACTGACAGCTCGCAACCCCCCATGTAATAACCTCACGACCCCCTGAGGGGTCCCAACCCCCAGTTTGAGAACCCCTGATATAACGGGACGGGGGCTTGGCAGATACAATGGCCACCACTTCCCCTTCAGACTCAGCCACCCAGAAATGGGACTCTTCCCTCTCCATGTAGGTTTTCTGTATGTCCCACAGGTCCTCCCTGAGACACCGCTCTACGTACTGAACATAGTACGAGTCCATCAGAAGCCAGCCTGCAGCTAACAGGACGGGGCAGCCAGCAGAGAAAGGAGGAGGGAGCCGGGGCTCAGGACCAGCACGAGGCTCACAGCCAGGAGGAACAGATGAGCCAAGGGGAAAGGATAGGGTTAAATATAAAGGGGACTAGGAAAGAACCAGGGCTAAATGTTGATAACTAAATGACCCCCAGATAACCAGAAGCTCCCTTCGATCATCCCGTCCCCTCCTCTCCAGCGATTCTGGGTCCCACCAGCAGCATAGGGACGAAAAATGGAGTCTCCCCAGGCCTCGGAGAAGGGAGGGTGGGCAGGCCAGAGGGTGCACCCATGCTTTGGGGATCTTTAACATCAAGGCCTGCAGTTGCTAACTCAAATAACATAGCAGGTCTGCCCACTGCCTGGGCGCAATGTGGGCCCTCGGGTCGGTGACCGCCTTTTCAAAATGCAAAAACAGGACACTTACAGGAGCCCCGCCCCCCTCTGTGGTGCCACCTTCTGCTCCTCCTCTTCCCCCATGACCCTGCCCCCTGGCCACACCCCAACCCAGAGCCAGGCCATGATAAGAGCCACCCAGGGAGCCCGGGCTGTGGTGGGGAGCATTTTGGGAGGGTGCTAGGAGGTCTGGGATATGGGTGGTTGGATTCAGGCCTGCATAATGCAGTGTAGATGCTGAACCCCCAGGTTGGGACCCAGGGTTCAACAATTCCTAACCTGGGGTTACAGATGAGTGAAGACATTCTAGCCCTAGGTTAACAAAGCCGAGTCTGCTAATTCGAGTTCTCTTAACCCTGAGCTTACATTGCTGGGTAAACATACCCTAAGGCCCCGATCCTGCAACCTGCTCACATGGATGCAGGCTCCACCCACTCAGAGAAGTTTGCATAATCAGGACCTTAGATTGCAAACTTCTTACTGCAAGAGACGTTTTCATTTATGCCTGGTGTGGGACCAAGCACATTGCTGGCATGTACCAAATAACCTTAATAAGATAGTATCAGAGGGGTAGCCGTGTTAGTCTGGATCTGTAAAAGCAGCAGAGTCCTGTGGCACCTTATAGTCTAACAGACATATTGGAGCATGAGCTTTCGTGGGTGAATACCCACTTCGTTGGATGCATGCATCCGACAAAGTGGGTATTCACCCACGAAAGCTCATGCTTCAATACATCTGTTAGACTATAAGGTGCCACAGGACTCTTTGCTGCTTAATAAGATAGGTTTCAGAGTAGCAGCCGTGTTAGTCTGTATCCGCAAAAAGAACAGGAGTACTTTTGGCACCTTAGAGACTAACAAATTTATTTGAGCATAAGCCTTCGTGGGCTACAGCCCACTTCTTCGGATGCATAGACGGGAACATACAGCAAGAAGATATTTATACATACAGAGAACATGAAAAGGTGGAACTAGCCATACCAACTGTAAGAGGCCAATCAATTAAGATGAGCTATTTTCAGCAGGAGGGAAAAAAAGTTATGAAGTGATAATCAAGGTGGCCCATAGAAGGTGTGAGGATACTTAACATGGGGAAATAGATTCAATTAGTGTAATGACCCAACCATTCCCAGTCTCTGTTCAAACCTAAGTTAATGGTCTCTAATTTGCATATGCCCACGAAAGCTTATGCTCAAATAAATTTGTTAGTCTCTAAGGTGCCACAAGTACTCCTGTTCTTTTGGCTTAATAAGATAGCCTTGCTCCTGCTATGGACAAGAGAGCAGAAGACATACAGCAAAATGGTGTCCCCTGGAACAGAATGCCACTGGAGAATGTGGCAACCCACTGGGAAAAGGGACGTGTCCTAGGACGAGGATTTTCTGGTTCCTCGTGTTAATAGCAGCACAGCATGTTACATATAGGTTGGAACTTGGCACAAATGCAAAGGCCTTGACTCTGGAGGTGATGAAATCTCCCTGCTCATTTACTGTGACATCACCTGTGATGCAAGCAGGGCTGGTGAGTGGGAGAGGCTGTCACATTCAAGGAACACACGTTAGTTTGCCACCCCAGCATGCAGAGCCCCTCTCCCTTCCCCGCCAGCCACAGACGTTTGAGGGGGTGGGGAATCCTAATCTAATGACGTTGAGGCACAAGACCCCTTGGCGGATGACGTGTCCCCGTGACCTGTGGAGTCGCTGAGTGTATTTGAAGAAGGATTCCCCCACACGGGTGTGTTTCAAGATGTTCCTCTTCGCCCGTAAAACCAAGACCCCCATCAGCACCTACACGGACTCCTACAGAGCACCGAACAGCATGAGAAAAACCTTCCAGGAACCTCCGAATACTCTGTGGAAAGAAAATAAGTTTGTGACGGAGGTAAATCTCCCCCCCCTCTCCACCCCCCAGTAGGCAGTGTTATCAGACGCAGGAGCTCAGCTTCTGTAGCGCTCCTAAGCTCTGCCACCATGGAGCTCTTCTGCAACTCAGCTTCTGCGGAGCCCCATAAGCCCTTCAGATGTTGATTTTTATGATGTTTTGGGTGTCCTCATAAAATGGGGGTCTCCCCTTTCCGCTTAGCGTTTTGACTGTGCAGCCGTGCCAGCGTGGTGGTAACAGTATCGCTTTAAACTACCTAAAAGTGCAGCTGGTGAGCGAGAGGCAATCTGTTGTTGTCCTCGCTTATAAATGAGCGCTGGTCACTACTGCTGTGGGAGGGAAATAATAAATGCAGCTACTGTAATGCTTAGATAGCACTTTTCATAAGAGGCCAGTATCGTTCTCTCCATTTTAAGATGGGGAAACTGAGGCACGGCAAGTGATTTGACCAAGGTCACCCAGCAGGTCAGTGGCAGAGAAAGGAACAGCACCCATGTTTCCAGAGGCCCAGTTCACTGCCTGAGCCAGTAGGCCACATTTTCATTTGTTCGTGTTCCTCGGTGCAAGAAGAGCTGCATGCCAGTCCCAAATGGAAAGCGTTCACTAACAACAGTCTGTACTGAAGTCATGGTGTCCTTCGGGCCAGCCATAGCTCTTAGCGGGCAGGGATTTCATTGTTAGCGCTGTGAAGCACCTGGCTGTAGGTGCTATAAAATAATACACAGAGGGAGGTGGTCCATGGAGACTATAGGTCACAACATAAATTCGGCCATACTGGGTCAGACCGATGGTCTAGCTAGCCCAGAATCCTGTCACTGACAGTGGCCGGTGCCAGATGCTTCAGAGGGAATGAACAAACAGGGCCGTTACAGAATGATCCACCCCCTGTCGTCTACTCCCAGCTTCGGGCAGCTGGAGGCTTAGGGGCAGCTGGAGCATGAGGTTGCGTCCCTGACTATCTTGGCTAATAGCCATTGATGGACTCCATGAACTTATTTAATTCTTTTTTGAACCCCGTTATACTTTTGGCCTTCAAAACAGCCCCTGGCAACATGTCCCACGGGTTGACTGTAATGGAATACACCTCTATCCCGATATAACACGAATTCGGATATAACGCGGCAAAGCAGCGCTCTCGGGGGGCGGGGCTGCGCACGCCGGCGGATCAAAGCAAGTTCGATATAACGTGGTTTCACCTATAACGCGGTAAGATTTTTTGGCTCCCGAGGACAGCGTTATATCAGGGTAGAGGTGTATCTCCTGGCCATTTAGATTTCAATGTGACATTGCACGCTGGGCCCTATTGTCTCTATAGACCATAGTTTTATCCAAATTAGGTGCCAAAATTTGGGGGCACTTTTGTTGCAAACCACCTCTGGTTAAAGACACTCCAGAGATCGCAGACTGGACTCTCTTGTCGTGTCTTTCAGTGGATCCTGGTTAGTCTCCGTGGTTCTGAGGCTCTGTGCATGGCCAAACTAGAACTGGCCTGTTGGGGGGTTCCCAGCTGTCGAGGCCTCCACAAGTCATCACAGTAATTTTCTCGTTAGAGAGTTTGAAACATGCCGGGTGAGTTAGAGGTGTGGATGAAAACCCTGCAGAACAGCCTATAAGCAAATGGCTGATGAATTTTTGCCAGCTGGTAACAATGAACATAATATACAAAAGTTCCCCAGCCTCCAGGTTCAGCCTGTTCTCCACAGACATGGTATCTGAGCAGCCAGCCAGCTTCTTTCTCTGTGCATGAACTTTCCACTACAACCCTCTGTGCATCTGTCCTTTGGCTTGGAATATGGTACCCGGCACCCTCTGCTGTCCAGATTGTGGCAGAACTGGTGAATGACCATTAGAAAATGTTTTCGAGCTGAGGTGCAGAGCGAGAGCATCCAAAAAAGGGAGGTTAAACCATCACAAGGAGGCTCTTTTGGGGCAATGCAGGCTCAGCCTGGGCACTTAGCAGTATGGGGCGTATGACACACAGCTAAGCAGCTCTGGTTCTCTCTAGTAGGGGACAGCATTGCATGCACACCCCAGCCAGCTCATTGCAACAGAAGCTCGCTGCAGGCTGAGGAGGAAAGACATGGTGTACTCCAGGAGGTGCTGCCAGCAGCAGCTAATTATTCATTATCTACTTCCCATCGCCAATAATCTAATCACTCCAATTAGTGGGAGGGAGTCATTGGTCATGAAGTGAACATAGCAAAGACTGCGACCGAGAGGCTGGCTCCCAAGCGCCCGAGGCTGAGAGGCGGTGCAGCCCGCTCAGGCAGTCATGGTCAGAAAGATCCAACAAGCCATCCCCTTGGATGGGCGCGGCGGTGGGGATGAGAGAGCTCCGCAGAATGCTGGGGACCTGGCAATGGAAGAAGGGGGGGTCATTTCTGTAACCCCTACGAATGCAGTGTGGTGCTCTGTCTACCTCGGGTGGCCAGGCCATATGGAGGTTTATCAGTCTGCTAGAGCCTGCCAGGGGCTAGAGCTGGGATTTTTAGCTCTAGAAGGCTCAGGTCTGATTCCTGCTGCCAACATCCTAGGCAGGGGGTCACACTGTGTTTTATGGGGATGTGTCTAAGCCAAACCTCATCTCTCCTAACGATCTGACCTCTCTCTCCAGCCAGCCTTTGTACCCTGCTGATTACCAGGTACCTGACTGCCCCCCCCCCGCCTCCATTTAAATGCCCAACAGTCCATG